GTGTACATGCACACATATAATATTAATACATTACTAAGTAGTAATTGATAAATGTTCCACTACACATACAATTGTGCGTAATTTAGGTTTATGGGCACGTATTTATTTACGACAAATTTGCAATAATACTTAATGTTTCATGAGTTCTTTATATGTACTTATTGTCTTCTTCTTATTCTTATATACTTATCGTAATTAACTATTTATGTTGTATCTAATAATATTTACCGGTTTACCACACCCACTGCACACGCACGAATATAAGACGACTCAAAATGCTGACTCTGTAAAGTAAGTACATGTCCGTCTGCCAGTACATGGAAAGCTCCATTCTTTCCGGTATCTATGGACAGACTTAATTGGAGGCTTATCCATGCGCCGTCTCATCTCTTCTGCGCGTTTGCATCGCTCTATATAGACAGCATTTTTGACGTTTGACTCAACCAGCCTTCATGTCCTGCATAGGTTAGGTAGGTGATTTTCTTAGATGCCCTGTATAAACCGGCCGCAATAAGCTGCAGCTGCAAGCTACCACTGGCAATACATAGTATTTCATAGTAATTTTCGTTAAAAAATCGCGACATATGAGAAAAGAAATCAGAAAACAGAGTGATAATTTTTAGTTCCCGCAATGCAAAAGACGGTAACGATTAGTAAACAAATTCAAAAATTATATTAGCACATTAGTAGTAGTAGTAATAGTCTGGCGGCAAGTCGCTTTTGATTTTAATGTACAAGTGTCGTTTTGTCGGATTGAAATTGCAGTGTAGGATTCCCTTTTAATGTCAATAAATTTAATCGAGGTATTTATTTTCATTCATTATTGTTATTAGAATTCGGGTTATCTAAGCGCACACGTCTGTCTATTAAGGACATTTAGTAATAATTAAGTAATAGCAAAAATAAAAATAAACATATTTTTAATCACAGTTACAAGAAAAATAAACTTCGTAATTCTACGCAATTAAGTCTTAGAAAGGTACTCTTAGGAACACCGGGCGATAGGAGACCGGAGTCCCTCAGACTTCCATACTGTCTGTAAATTTCTTTCTGTGTGACTGGATTTAGTAGAGGCAAAGCTGCAGAGCCTTGAACACAGCCTTAAAATTGCCTGCTTATCAGTATTATAACTGCTTATCAGTATTATAACTGCCTCCGTGGCCGAACGGTTACCACGCCGGACTGCCATGCAGAGGTCTTGGGTTCGATTCCCAGGCCGGGAGAAATATGTGTATGGCCTACATTTATTTCTCTCGTGAGTTTGGGTGTAATTTGTGGTTGTCTATGTGTGTGTCCATGGCACCCGCGACACAGGGTTTCCCTAGTGCGGGGCTATGTTGAGTGTGTGCGTTATTATTACTATTATTATATAAGATATATCACGAAGAGTGTGGGATGGAATTGCATGATTCGGCCTTCCCCATTCCATCATCGTGGGACTAGACGTATGCTGGGATTCCACGCTTACGTCGTAGATATTTGAAAGATTCCCACGAAACGTTTCGCTTTCACATTTATAGAGCCGGGAAAGGAGTGGTATTCCCTGCCTGCAAACTTGTTCCCCGAACGCTATAACTTGTGCCTTTTCAAGGCAAGAGTGAATAGATACTATTTAAGTGTGCATGGTAGATCGTCGATATGATCGTCGCGTAGGTGAGATGGAGGCCTAATTTATTTATTTATTTATTAGATGAACAAAACAGTTTACATTCACCCCTTAACAAAAGCTTAAACATTACTACTAGTTCTACTCTAGAATGTAAATCTAAACATGTACATACAGCATGACCAATCATGAGTAAACAATTTTGTTTAAAATATAATTTGTTTGTAAGTTAATATAAAATACTTAGGCATAATAAAACTGTAACCTTAAATAAAATACAATTACTATGACTATAACTATGAAAGAGAGAAACCGTGGTGGTTGTGGATTCGATTGCGAAGTCTTTTAACATTACTATCAAATATATCTATCTCTAAATCATCATCATTTATTATCAGCCATTAGGTCATTGTAGGCCCGACACATTCTCGTCAAAGGGTTGTAAAAAGAAGTATTATTAGTATAAACATTCAATACGAATGGTCTAGGAAGGCGTCGTGGATTGCACTTGATGTTAAAATTAATATGGGACAGAAGCGTTGATGATTTAAGGCTGCCGTGAAGTAATTTGTGTAAATGTAGAAGATCCTGTACCCTACGTCTAGAATTCAAGGACATAACCTTAAAATGTGATAACGTCTCTTTGTAACGCGACAAATTGCGACCCATGTGTGATCTGTAACTTACTATTTTGAGAGCTTTGTTTTGTACGCCTTCTAGACGTTTAGAGTGAACCTCGTAGAAAGGTGATACGACACAGGCATACTCAATAAGACCTAACGCACACTTATTTAGTTACAAAAAAAATATGTTATATATTTAGAAATGGATAGAACAAAACAGGGAAAGGGTCAATCGCGGGTTGTCAAACTACTTTCTAGATAGCAACATGAAAAGTTAGGTTACTTTGTGTAAAAATAACACATTTCAAAATAACGCACGAAGATTACAATTTACACAAGAAATGACAACGAATAAATATTTGCTAAAAAACTTATATATTTTTTTAAACTTTTTTTACCTTAAGAACCTAAATAGTTCAGTAAACTCGATCTTTTAATACAACTCTATTTTTATATAATCAAAAGCTAACAACGCATTAAACGTCAATTTATTACTTTTAATGAAAAATCCGACTAGAGCTATGAAATTTTTGGTGACATCAACATCATTGGAATTTTACGATATGGAATAAATAACATGATGGGAAGTAAAATAACTGTAAATGCGTTACGTACCGTTTACTGGATCTGACCTTGAAATATGACTACAACTTACTGTTACACCCTGTATACCTACGTAATGGATTTACCCTAATAGGGTTCATTTAGCTTCCATCACGTTGACTGAACTTTATTAAATAAGTATCTAGTGGCTCTGTAATGTGTCTACTCATGACAAATTTGCAGAAATTAAGGTAAATAAATAATACCTTCAAGTAACACGAAGGCGCAATAAGCATGATGAGTCTAAGAAGTGACACCGTTAATTGTAAACAAATGGAGTCTACGTAATCTCAGAAGTGAGTTCGAAGTTTCTGCACTGCTTTGACGTCTACAAAACCACAACATTCACCACAAAATTCCACTGGGTTGAATGTAATGCAAATGAATAATTTTTAAATTATTTCCTGTATCCGCTTCTCACGAGTTAAACCAGTCTGCTAGGTGCCTCTATTCACTTACAGTCGTGTCGCCAGAGAGCAAATAATTGTAATATATAAATGTATTCAAAATGACGACCGAAATTGTAACTACTGAAGACGTGTCACATACTGACTTTGGAAATTTGACATCGTCAACTGCGACGTGGTCGAAGGATAGCGAACGTACTTCAACTGTTGCAGCTTTATTTAAGGAATTTTCGACCACTCAAAATATCAGTCATGACGCGATGGCCGATAAGCACCAGTTTCAAAGTATTTCACCTGTGTTTGAAGCTTTTATTATGATTGAAATTGTTATGACAGCTTTGGAATTAACTCTAACAATTTTGGCAACTTGCAAGTTGAAGCTGTGGCGGAAAAATTACAGAAATCAGATGCTAATGCAATTAAGTTTGGTGCGATTGTTGAAGCGAATATTTGCTTTAATTGAATTTTTAAAAGACAAGGGGACTATTACTGATTCACTGCAACTGTCTACGCTGGTGAACAGTGCTCTGATTTACATGGACTTTGTTATTGTAATATTAATCGTGTTTTTTATTAAGCACATGTATGACAGTCTAATTGTGGTGTTGGTGAAGATTAGTCAGAACAATTTGGTGAAAGTGTTAACGTGTGCGTGGTTGTTACCACTGCCTATAAGCATAGTGTGTACTGCAATCACTGTGACGAAAGTGTTGGACAACTGGACGATGTATTTACTTATGTGTGCCATATTTCGATGGCCACTTATGTTTATAGGTACTCTACTATACATAACTATTCTGTTTCGAGTACTAAATGAAAAAATAAGGAAATTCGCTCGTAATCTCACTGTTATTACGTTTTTATTGTGTTTAGTCATGAATTTGTATCTGTTCTGTAAAGATGTAATATGGTTATGGTGCATTCATACATTTTCTACAGTTTTATTGAGTTACTTACTTGGTTTTGCAATGAATATCCTTATACTTTGTCTCTATTTAACATTGATAACACTAAGTTTTCGTTGTGACAAAAACAAAAAGTGTAACAACACTCTGAGACCTAATTTTAGTGAAGCAGCTATTAGATACTAAGATAAATATTTCATAAACTGAATGTAAATATATTTAAATAGCGTATGTATATAGTGTAAATAAAAATAGTTGTATCCGTAAGCAATTTTTTTTCAATAATGCAATAACCACCACACTGTTCTATTATTATTGAAACAGGACGTTGAAGGCAACAAGATAAATGAAACTAAGCAAATAGTAAGTCTAATACAATTTAATTTAGGATCACAATAGAATGTAAGTCTGATTTAGATTACAACAACGTGATTATCGGTTTAATTATAAATGCCATTTGTTAAATCCAACAAGTACTAAAACACTTAAATTATTCATAATAATATTGGAATTGAAATATTCTTACTAATGATATCAATACAAAAGTCAGAGAATGTTTGTCACGTAGAGATTTCATTGGAAACACATCTAATATTGTGGCCGACCTCCCGTTGTTTAAAATCAATTACAGTACAATACTCAACTTTAATGCTTAAAAAATGTTATTTTATCCTTGACACAATCCATAAAATAGAAGTTACATCTAAATCTATACATTGTAAAAACAAAAATAAAATATGTATGAAATAATAATAATAATAACTCCCATAAATATAACCTTATTGATTGATTAGGTAATTAAAAACGACGTTTCAAAAATCAGGTTATTAACAACTTTATTTACAGAAGGGGCGAAAAGAAGTGCGATTTTTTTTATAACAAAGGTGTTCGGCTTTGTTACGTTGTTGTGACATGGACATGGATGGACGGAGATGTGCGCTTGCGCTGACAGTGCAGCGCCTGCAGCGCTTGTGTATGCGAGGCGCTTAGGCGCAGTCACATGAGCAGCGCTTCACGCGCTTCTCACGATGCAGCAGGGCGTCCACGCTACGCACGGAACGAGGCTGCATGTCTGCAAGCACAATGACGTAGCCAATTTGAAATTTGACAATCCATTTGTCAGCAATTCAACAAAGTATCTAAAAAAACACATCGTTTTTCAAACAGAAATTAATAAAAAGAAGAAACCAAGATTAGATAAATAAATAAAAAGTAAGTGCTATTTATATAACAATAATACTCGTGACACAGAATTATCAAATTGTAACAAACAGTCAAGTAGGGCAAAAAACAATTTTATTTGACTTCTGTGTAAGTAGATAATAACCTCAGTACAGAGTACTAAAAAAATGACCTCATAAATTCGTGTAATTAAATCTATTTGCCAAGTTTTATTGAAATCGGTTACCAGAAAGTGCGCGAAACGAAATTCATCGCCTAGTTTGCCACCTTTCATTCATAGTTTGCCACCTTTGAGGTGGAACATTTTCTTCAAATTTGACCACTGTTGGTATCAGGTGTGTGACCGGGGTGTTCATCCCGTGCGCAGCTAGCGCGTCTTTGTAGCGGTCTATTTGTGGCCTGAGGCGAGGAGACGCGCGGGCAAAGGAGTCGCAGGACACTGCCACTTGGCATCTCCGGCACTAGCCCGGAGAGCTAGTAGAGGATGAGCTAGACATCTTCCGGTCCCTCCGGCCGCGTAAGAATTTGGGAACTGGAGAGATGCCGTTCATTCGGCGTCGGGAAGTGAGCCTGGCTTACAGCTCCGCCACCAATGAGGAGATTTGGTAGTCGGCTTAGAGTCGGCGGCTCAGCGGTGGCAATCGTTAGTCGTGCGGAGCGCGATGGAAAGTGAGCCTACAGCTCCAGTACCTATCTGGAAAATAGGGAGGGTGTTGTACATGCACCCGGGTGGCTCACCTAAGGCCTTAGCCTTACAGAGAACCGGATGAAGTGCGTGTAAACGTGCTGATCCGGGGTTAGGATCTGACTTAGATGGTCCCTGTGCAAGCGAGCTTGCACAGGTCATAGTGTCATTCCCGCATAACCAAGAGGTTGATAGGGAGGGGCACTATAAACAAAACTTATGTAGAAAGATATGAGACTGTTGGTATCAGGTATCCTCTTTCGTACAAAAGGAAAATCATCAAAATCGGTTCACAAACCGGAGTTATCGCGTAACATAAACAAAAAAAAACAGTCGAATTGAGCACCTCCTCCTTTTCTTGATGTCGGTTAAAAATAGTAACAAGTCTCGTCACTACCTTACCAATCATCCTACGACCTGTGAATGAGTTCCATGAAACAATAACCTAGTACTCTTCCCGCTCATTGTAAAAATCGGCAAACGAATATCCCATGATAATAGATATTTTGCACCTCAGCACGTAGCTCACCAGTTTTTCTTGTCAACCAGTGATATTAACACTAAAGCCCTTTCTTGGTACAGCATAAAAACTTTTTAAATAAAGCGCTTGCCACGTGGACCGGCTCTAACGCTTATCATGTGAGCCAACCCCATTCTTTCTACAACAAATTGCTTTTATAGATTGGCTTTTACATGCTGACGTTCGTATAACGCGTTACCACAACGCGCGCTGAACGCCTGTCTAACGCTCGTCGTCTGAACCGGTCCTCATATAAATAACCGGCGTTTTCATACTGATACGCGTTTAAAGCACGCTGAACGCGCGTCTAACACTGGCCATTTGAACCGGCCTATCATTTATTAGCCAACAGATTTTTATCATTGAATAATCTTTTTATTCCATTGAAATACGACATGAAAGAATAAATAAAATATAACGAATCCAACGTAGTCAGACACACCTATCCATGAAAAAACTGTTTTATATAATGCATTCATGAGAAATATATCAAGGCGTACTCAATTTAAAATCTATTATTCAGCCTGGTATAAGTCAAATGCACTATTGATAGCAGCTTTATATACACAAGGTGGAAAAAATCAATGGGACATGGAGGAAAACTACCTTGAGTACTTAAGATAGCTAATTTTACTTACAGGAAACATTCCTTTATTTTTCTTAATATGAATAACTGTATGATAATGATGATGCATGACTTTTATAAATCTTACCTGAATCAGGAATTGTAAAAAGTAAAAACTAACTAAGTAAAAATGCAAAAAAATCTCAGTGTTTTATCGTACGAATCGATAGAATCAATGATAATGGTAAAGTATCCCCAGCAAACATTGGGTCTTACAAATAGAGACGTAAAGAAGTAAAGAGGTAAGCTTCTAAAAAACGGTTTCTTATTAAGGAAAAAAAATGTTTCATTGGAGTAAAATTAATTATCTTACATTTGCTTTGTTGCTTTCACTTTTTTTATGATAGGTACTAAGTGATGGGACGAACTAGTCGTGTGTCTTTTTTTGGCAATTGTAATTACGTGAATTTCAGCAGTGATTGAATATTTGACATAAAAAAGATAGTCCTCAGGCATAGTTATTCACATATAGGCATAGTAGCACATTGCGGTGCTGTGCACGCTCGGATTCGGACGTGCTCCACTACACTGTAAGAATTATAATAATTCGCGACCCGCGCGGCAATAGCTGCTGCGCGTAACAACAACTCATAGCCAATGAACTGCTGGCGTTCATCCAACACGCCATCGACACTATGAACGAGGTCAGCATCGTGCACATCTGCAAGTCAAACTTCAAAGAAGAAGAGGTTGGCAGTGGCAAGGCGCTGCTTTTCCAAACGCTTATCAAGGCCGAGCAGATGCCATCTCGCCGGAGGGATGAAGGAGCGAAGAGTCTCGAGGACATCTTTACGCTGTTTAGGGAGACCGACCCTGACGACGTGCCTGCTTTCGTGGCGAAGGATCTGCACAAGCTGCCCCCTGACACGTTCGACCATGTCGACGTCACCAAGCTACTGAAGGACATCACGTCCCTATAAGCAATCCTTGCTGAAGTTCGGTGTAAATTGGAGGCCTCGGAGAACACAATCAGTGATTTACGTGCCCAAGTTGTGTTACTTAGTAGTGCATCTTCTGTAAGTAGTGACCTGAGGCCTGGAACATCTATACTTGTCGCGGGGCGCAAAACGCATATATCGGCAGTTTTGAGTCGACTCACATGTACGTGTCACCGACCGCTGCCGCTGTCGTCGCGCGCGTTTCCCCGCGCCCCGCCCCTCGTTTTTCCGCCTCGGCGGAGATGTCACTCGTAAGCGACGAGGGGTCACCCTCGACGTGATTACGCTGCTGTTGCCGCTGCTACCCAACCCATTGCTGCACAACCACAACCCAGGCAACCAACGGAGGGGAAGAAGAAAAAGCGGAAACTCATATCTGGAGCTGTGTCATCAGTACCGTCGAGAGGAGTAGACCAGTGCGACGAGGACGGCTTTAAAAAGGTGGAAAAGAAAAAGAAGTACACTAGCCGTAACCTTAGTGGCACCGCCCCGACTGGCCCCAACCATCTATTGCGTCCAGCGGTACCGACGACGTTGCTATACGTGTCACGACTTCATTACTCCACAAAGTCTCCGGATACTGTGGAGTACATACGAGTGAAAACTGAGGGTCGAGCAGTTAGAGTCCCGCCACAAAATGAATATTAATTCATTTGTGGTGAGAGTACCAACTCAACATCTGTCGACCTTCATGATGGAGGACTTTTGGCCGAAGGGTGTTCCGGCGTTTCCGAGGACGGCTATCGGACACCCACGTTGCGTCACACGTCGTGGTCCATACGTGTAAATAATGAAATAGTCATCATATTATTATGTATGTTAGTCTATAAGGTATATTGTAACCTACAAAAGACCCATAAAACTCATAAATATATAATTTTAAAATAAATAATAGGGGTTAAAGTATGAAATTGCCGATTTGTACTGAAAATCTAAATTGTTTATTTTTTAAATTTTTAACAAATTTATTTAATCAAAATAGTTGCCATTATTATCTATACATTGCTGCCATCTAATGGGAAGTTTATTAATGCCTTTGCGATAGAACTCCGACGATCTAGACTGCACAAACTGTGTGAAAGCATTTTGTACTGCCTCCTGGGAAGAAAACTTCTTGTCACGTAGATAATTGTCCAAATCACGAAAAAAATGGTAGTCCGTTGGAGCAAGGTCTGGTGAATACGGAGGATGACGAATGGTTTCTAACTGCAGTTCCTGAAGGGTCAAAATGGTTTCTCGTGCTGTGTGAGGTCTCGCGTTGTCGTGGAGCAATAATGGTGAAGATCGATTCATGAGTCGGGGCTGTTTTACTGCTAGTTTTGTCAACATGGTTCGGAGTTCGGCACAATAGACATCTGCCGTTATTGCTTGACCAGATCGGAGAAAACTATAGTGAATAACACCATGCTGAGACCACCAAACAGTTGCCATTACCTTTTTATTGGTAAGTTTTGCTTTAGGACACTGTTGTGGCATTTGACCTGGGGTCAGCCATTGCATTTTTCTTTTCCGGTTATCATAAAGAATCCACTTTTCATCACATGTTACAATTCGATCCAATATTCCTTCATTTCTGTACCGGTTCAACAAGGCAATACAAGTTTCAACACGCGTTTCTTTCTGCAGATCAGTCAAATCATGAGGCACTCATTTTTCGTATTTTTTTATTTTATTGATTTGACGCAAGTGAGTCAATATTGTGGGTAAGGTAACGTTAAACCATGCCGCTAATTCCTGGGTAGTTTGACTAGGATCGGCTTCCACTATCTCTCTTAATTCGTCGTTATTCACCTATGTGATGTAGGTCTTCCTCGTGGCTCGTTCTTTAAGTCGAAATTTCCATCACGAAAGCGTTTAAACCAAAATCGCACGGTGCGTTCATTAGTAGACCCCTCTCCAAACGCAGCATTGATATTGCGGGCTGTTTCTGCCGCGTTAGTTCCGCGTCGGAACTCGTATTCAAAAATCACTCGAATTTTCGCAGTATCCATCTTTCTTGTCTAAATTGAATAACAAAAACAATTGAAAGTCGATATTCAAATGTTTCAAATTTAAAAAAAAAAAGAAAATCACAGAAACCATTTGAAAAAAGTTTCATTCGAAAACCTCAAACCATGAAGATTCTATGAAAATTCAAAGAACCTATTGCAATAAAACGGCAATTTCATACTTTAACCCCTAATATATAAAAATAAAAATAGTGGCGCTGCTAAGTTACTACTAGTAGTTGTTGTTGTTGTAGTTGCTACTGCGTCGAAGAAAATATACAATATACTCACAGTGTGGCCTCTCCTCAATTGGGAGCATAGGCATATGGAGCTCTTGCGGAACGAGCACGGTGCGTGGCGCACGAGAAGTGGGGGATGGCGCGTCTTGAGTGGGGCTCTGCATCTGCTCCTGGCGCCTTTGTTCTTCATGGGCTTGGGCCTGTGCTTCAGCGTGCGCTTGGGCCTCGGCTTCAGCTTCCGCAGCCGCGGCCAGGGTGTTCACGATTGTCTTAACCTAACATTTTTAGACGATCACAATGCTTGTATTATTATATTTGGACACTCCGTTTTTCTAAAAGAATAACCCATTTTATCTTACAGATGTATTTAAAGCAAGTTAAGCTATGTAAACAAACACATTTAATTAACCAAACTATAATTTTCAATAAAGAACTTTGATATCACTATCGGGCTCAGCATCAGTGTTTATTAAGATTTTGACAATTCCTTCCTTCCTCCTAAAATAATATAAGCTGTTTTAATGGCATTCTCTTGCTGTATATACCTCCTGCATATCGTTGTCCATCTGTTGCTGAATCTGCTCGCGTTGCTGGCTGGCAGCGGCATCCTCGGCAGTGCGGTGGATCACATGAAGGTCCTCGGGTGTCAGGCCCCAAGGCAAGTTCATTTGGACAGGAGTGCCATCCATCTGGATCTTCTGTATCTGTCATCCAATAACAATTCAGGTTTAAAATATGCTCCACAAATCTTTAACGTACAAATTCTATTCATCAAAGTAGCTAGAACATAAATTGTACACAAAAGTAATCCTTCATGTTTTAAGAAAATATTTTGAAATTTCAAATGATAGGCACGTTACTACATCAAACGCAACAAGTAAATTAAAAATGAGGACGAGTTATAAAAGGCACATTGCAGTAGCCATAGACAAGGAATTAGCTAGAATATACGAATATTCAAAGTCAAGTGTAACTGAAAATTTCTGTTTTGCATCAAAGTATATACATACTTACAACACATTTGGTCTTCACTTTTTCGTAGGCATTTGTAACCGTCGCCATCTCTGAGGTCCCCGATTCGATCCCCGGTTGAGTCAATGTACAAAACTAACTTTTCTATTGTCTCGGGTCTGGGTGTTTGTTATACCGTCGTTGTTTCCGATTTCCATAACACAAGTGCTTTAGTTACTTGCTTTGGTATCAGAGCAACTCATGTGATATTGTCTAATATTTATATATTTGCCCTTAAAAGTCGTCAGTAGCCATATTTGAGTTTAGCTCGCTTCAATTATATGTAATATGCAAGCTCTTGTGTAAAACAAATTTTATACATCTTAAGACAGGTATTGCTTTAACTTGTATATTAACACAATAAGTATTATATATTATACGTATTATCGCTTAAAGCTATAAGACCACCCATTGTATCACCGCTTATTTTTAATTTAATTGTATTGTATTTGTTCTCTTTTTTGGTGTACCATAAAGAGTTTTTGTATTGTATTGTATATTTTATAAACAAGTATGAGTTATTCATAACTGATCTTGCTGGTCTCATATACCTAATGAATGTCTCAAGAAAAGACAGGTGTCTTGCCTAACTTTATTCAAACTTCAGATTTGTAGTTACAGTCAGCTGCTGTACGCGCATGAAACGTAGAGACTATACGATCCTGACAGCCACTGTTATCAATATCTAATGATACACCTTGTAATTAAACATTAGTACTATGTGGCGTATCATTGAGTATTCCTATAAGTTTTATACATATGTACTGGTAGGTAAATTCTCGTTTTAACCAAATACTGCTTTTATAAATTTAGCAATTTAAAAACTTGCCGAGGTTTTCATAATAAAAACTTTAAAACTTTTTTAATATGACGAATACAAGAACATCTTTTATCATCTACTAATAATTTTAGATTTCTTGTCCTGATAAAAACATATCTATCTACCTTACTTTTTTCTTCATCGTTTTATTAGTGTATAAAATATGATCGATACGTAGATATCATCACGTAAAATTATTTCATTATTTTCGGTTTCTAAAGGGATAAAGCGGGCAGTTTATATACCCTCAATATCCCGTTTTCAATAAAAATAGAAATACTTATTTCCAAAATACGATATATACGAGTTGGGATTTCTAGGGCTGACAAATTTCTAATATTTATTTGAAATTATATAGAATAGTAGTTGCTGAGAGAAATAGTAATTAAATTATCCACATAGAAACGGCTTATGTTGCTTAATGGTTGACATTGGTTTTTCGTTTTTAATTGATCTATATCCTGAAATGTCGTTCCGTTTCCAAATAGCTTACAATTAATTGGTCATAATCATGAAAAAGTACAAATATCTCAATTTAGTTACCTGATTTGCAAATGAGTACTTAGTACGTGTTAAAAGTGCAATTTTATTTGAGATAAACAGTGAAAACAATAAAACGATTCAGTTACCTCGGGCTGCTCTAGCTCTTGCGTGGGTGCAGATTGGGGCACGAACTGGTGGAGAACGGTAGGCTGCTGAAAACATAAATATTATTTTTAGTCTCTAAAACAAGTAATAATCCCGTAAAACTAATAATTAATTAGTTATTATAGAAAACAAACAGACACCAAGGGTGCACAATCTTTTCTGAAATTTTAATTCTAGATTGTGATTTTTTTAAATCTTCTACATTCTTGTACCTATTTAGCACACATCCACATGATTTGACATTATGAGGTTGTTACTGTTTCATTTTTTTTATTGTGTGTGTGGTTTTTTACTTATTTATGTGTAATTACAATATTTATATACTTATTTACATATAATATATTATACGCGCATTACTTAAGATTCACTCAAGAATATAAAGGGTCTATTATAAAGTGTCGGCATAAATATATTTATTTACCGTGTGCATATAAAGTTGTATAATCAAGTAATTTGTATACAATTAAAGGCAATGCGAAAAACCTAGTAGTACAGCAGTTATCTATTAAAACAATGAATAATGGAAATCCTTCACCTTCTGCCATTTTCCCACACAAATTAAAACGAAGGTTACTTCTACTAGGTTTAGATTCATGATAAAGTCTAATTTGGTTCACATTCCGTCTTATTATACAAAAATATATAAACATAACTTGTCCTTTTACCTACGTTTTACGAAAAGCATAGATAAAAGGAACGTTAAAGTTGACCGCAATTGTATGCTAACAAGCAGTTCTTTAACCTCCGCGTGAAAACGGTTCAGTGCCTCCGGCGCGCTGTTTCTTTTATCAATAAGATATTATGTCTGCCGAGTCTAATTCATTATTTCTCAAATTGTTACACTAATCATACTATAACAGTACAGCTAGAGGGAATCTTTTTTCGTATAACTAAAAAATACGAAGGCGAACCGGGAACAATGGTAACACCGTGCAATAGTAACTTATTGTCATAACTAAACAACGTGTAGGAAACGGTTAACTGGACCAGGGTCCTAAGTCTGCTAATTTTAAATCATCTCAGTTGCGTGTAGATAGAGTGTCAATGGCAGGATTTTGTACGTTTGGTATTCTGCTAAGACTTAAGAGTAGAGGATTGTTAGCGGTTAGCTATCGAGGTACTGTTCAATTGCCATTGAAATTTTCTGGCATTCTTCTCTTCAACGGCGAGTTGAAGGGACGTCGATGGTGTAGTCTACTAATATTTAATTTGAAGGCTAAATTACTGATTAAAGGAGATAAAAATTAAGATATGCATAGTAATTTCCATGTTAGTTTTAGTAAACCAACATCAATCGTTATTTATTGAATGAATGAAAGCCAATCAGTGCCATTCCAATGACACTGTATTGAGATTCATCTGCTATTGTAACTAGATTTTAACAAAATAACAAATATTATTACAAGTATAATTGCAATAAAATCTCAATTGGGTCTCAATGGAATTACAATGGTCAGTGGTTTTTAGAAAAAATTAGCAGAATTGGGCCCGAAACGTTGGTTTGTTTGAAAAAACAAATATACGCGATTCGCGTCAGAAAAAATAGTTTCATTTCCTATGTGTACAATCGCGGAAACCTAAAAACTCGATATAAAAAAACGAGTAAATAAATGTTCACTCACCAATCGTCAGCATGGTCACTTGGGAATGGACCAGTCTGGTGTGATTTTTTGCCCTCACAATAATTACTCGTATAGCAAATAAACCTCTTTTTAACAATGAACAGCGGAGATTCATTTGCAAATGTCAATTGTATTGCTACCCCTCGTTTATTTAGATCTTGAAATTAACAATTATTTAATTCGTTGCTAATTGCTAAGACATAAATGTACATTTAATTATTCTTTTGTTTCCGATGCGACCAATTGCAGTGATATAGTCGAGTCTGTGTATCTTCTTGATACACGGACTCGACTACACAACATGTGAAAATTTACAATTGACTCAATTATTTTTTTTTTGTAATGGCTGGCAATTATGCTAGGAGTCCCTTGTAAATTCATAAATAATTCATTTAGTTGATTCTTTTCGTTTTTAAAATTAATAAACAATACATATTTAAAAACTGTTACTAAACCAAAGAATATTGCTTATACAGGTGAAAAGAGAGCCCTCATGCCAACCCAAAGAGAGTATTCATGCCAACTGATTTTGAAGCACCATCTGTTTTTTATCAGTGACAACTTCGTGCGTATATTCCCATAAATATGCATTATGTAGATACGAGTGATTGCTACTAGTAATACTTGCAAATGAAATATACTTTGTTTGCAGTTTTGTTCTAACTTAATTATGTGAAAGACAAAATGTCACTTATGAATTTGTAAGACATTAGTCTGCCAATTACAGCATTACTTAATTAGAACAAAACATTAGGTGATAAAGGCCACAATAAAAGACAAATTTATTTGATTACTTCTTATTTTTATAATGTGTATACTCATTATAATATACTGCAGCATTATTTTTAATTTTTTCGTCCCCTACATAAGTTATTTTCCCAGACAAATTCCGATTAACAGATCTACACCAGCTGTACAATAAGACACAGCACAAGGAAAAACATTCCACGCAAATAGCACTCAAGAAAATTTCACAAACCGGCAAAATACACGCGCGTACGCAAGACGCGGTAGCCATTTTGTGACATTGACAGAAAATATATTACCAGCTCCGAACTAATCAAAATTGCTCACCAGCTATAAAAGAAAAATAACTGTTCATTTATGGTGAGCTTTTTTATTATAATTTTCAGTCGCAAACGTTATGGTAAATTTTCTAAAGTTTTTTAACAATTTATATTATAGTACGTACATAGTGTATGGAAAAATCCCAGTCATTACCTAGGTAAAATAACTAAAACAGTAATGGTATAGAAAGCCTGACAATCGCAAAAATAGTACCGGTGATAATTAAAAGATGTCACTACTTACTTTCTTTACAAATTGTCAGCTCCAAGGTTCTGCCCCCAAATATTAAACTAAAGAAATTTTTTGTTAAGCATAATTTGTTATTGCGTTATTCAAAGCAAAGGAAATATACTATTTTTAATTTTGGCTAATAATTGTGCTAGTATTTTTAAAGTCGCTTGAAAAAAAAAGTTAGTGATGTTTAATATAAAAACTCTTTCTTAACTTACACCACCGCAAATTAATGAAAGAGGGAATATTACTCGTATAACTTGATAACTACTATTTTCGTATTCTTATGAAACTTATGAATGATTCACATTAGGGGTCAACTGTAGTACCAGTCATCAAGAGACGGCAGCATGGATCTTGTTCTGTTGCACCGGAGACGATATTAGAACAAAAGTGTATGCTTGATGTGCTGTTGACTGTACTATACGAAACAATATTTTTAACACGTTATGAATAAATATGTCGCCTTCCTGTATGACACCAACTAGTATATGGATTTAAGTTTATAAGTTTAGCATCATCATCTACAACCCAGCCAGCCTCCTTCCATAATATGTGCCACCCATCATGTTTTTAAACTGGTCTCACACATACATTGCCCGCGAATTTGACATTTAGTCTACCCATATGTATATTTATTTATAAACAAGTAAAGCAAAATTTTAGCAGAAGTAGAGCTCCTTGTGAAAGAGTTCGCTCAGGGAAGTACTGCCACTTTACCTATTTCTGCCGCCAAGCAGTAATATCCGCATTACTGTGTTCCGGTTTTGAAGCTTCCGATGCTGGTGAAATTACAGGCACATGGGACTTGTCAACTTATGTCTCAGGGTCTGCCTCAAATCTTTGCGATTTAAAGATCTGAGTGGCGCTGCAACTGTTATGGACAGGCGTGTTGCTTGCCATTAGGCGCATGACTTGTTCGTCCCGTCAATTGATATTATAAAAAAAGACTATGTGGTTAACTATAAACTCAAAAATGTTACTATTGTCACCGATCAACTCAAGTACGTAAAATTTATGTGTTACCCTCGAGCAATGACAGATTTACATCCCCGTAAGCGTCATTCAAGCGCAAAATGGCTAAATGTTTACTCACTGGATTAATATCCACCTCAATTGAGCGTAACATGCGTGTTATGTAACATGTACATTTTAACATGATCGCATCAAACGGTTTCCTTAAGAAATTAACGGTATTTAATAAAGCTGCCATAAGTACCTAACTACCTACAAAGGCAGCTTTACGAGAATACTAACAATTTATAGGTAATCATTCGCTTAGTAGACTTTGAATATGTATTTAGTTAAACACTGTAAAGACAAATCGAATCTTCTGCGTGTAATCAACTAAGTATACAACATGATTACTACAAAGTGGTAGCAGACTTGATAATCGACCTTGAATATTTAAATATTTTCGTAACCGAGTAATTTAACAGAATGATAAGTGTTAAAAATATTTAAATATTTTTATTTTAAATTATTGGCAGATGTCATTACGAGCAACTTCCGCGTCTTAACCACGTTGTTGCTAGTGTACTCGTTATGTTGTAAATTGCTTGCTAACGGAATATTTTTTACACTCAAAGTTTTTTGACTCTTACAACTACTTAACTGTTATAGATGTGGGCTTCATTAAATTAATGTAAGCATATAACTTATTTTAGTTAGTAGCTAATTCTGTTTTGAAGTGTAGATTGAGTCTTTATCCGATAAGCTTTTTTAAGATAAGAAATCTCTCGATCACTTCAAAGGCAAAAGATACTGTTATTGTGAATTAAACATGTTTGTAAATCATAAATAAATATTAGACAACATCACACGTTATATGTTTACTATGAGTTTTCGAAACAGAGTTCAAGTTTTTATCCTAATAAGTAATTGTTATTATATATTTCTTGACTCTACATAACTCCTACAGAGAAAATATAAATTATATTTGTAGCTTATGGAATTTAGCTGCTACAATGTATCAGGTTAACAAAGATTTCAAATTATTTACACGAAATCCAGATTAATACAATAATGGGAAATAATAAGTTGTAACTTGCCTCGTTGTGATCCTGTGAGTGGGGTGGTGGTGGTGGTGGGGCAAAGGGTCCCATACCCTCAGGCGGGGGCGGCATGTTGTGGGGAGCGGGGATGGCGATGACCCGTTGAACGTGGATGCGCATCTCGCGAGGGGCACTCATCTGCTCCTCTGAGGAATCCCATGGCATCTAAAACAAACAAACAATATAACTAAATCGGAAAACAAATTAAAAAGAAATAATAATGTGCCAAACAACCACAACAATTGCCTGGTATCAAACTAGGTAATTTCCTGTACCATGAGTACCTACCAGAGCAACAGAATTCACTCCGGGGCACCCAGAACACCCAGACCAGAGCCAATTTAGATAAGCTCATTTCCCTAATTATTGCAGAAATAGAACCGAGTCTCATCCAATGACTTCAGTACAAACTGTAAGTACATATAAAATGTTGTCATTTTAATCCTTGATACTACTAACGAGCCACCCTTGTATAAGGCAATCATTCCACCGTAAGAATGCAATAAAATCACTACAAAGTTGACCGTAGGTTACAAGAGGAAGACTATCAAAGAGATAAAAATAAAACGCAACAATTAACCTCATATAAGACACAAATAGATAGACTAAACAAGATTTTCCTTGTGATTTCTGACGTATTCGAACTCTAAGCACTAGTAACAAGTGATAATAAATAACTATCAATAAAGGCACGCAAACGATGATAAGTAAATTAGCATTGTAGGATCAAATTACGACCGAAGAACAAAGGATAATAGAGGTTCAATCGTGTCAGGCATAAATAATGCCTGCGAGTTGCGCAAACACACCGAGAGCATCACCTCATAGGAGATGAAGACCGGTGATCAGGAAGCAATGACCGCTGACACACGAGGACGAGCGGCCATTGCGCACCCACTCTGCAAAACAAAGCCGACGAACTCTCTCGCACATCTTACTTCATACCAATGTGTCAAAAATATCACCCATACAAAAATAGCAATAATGATTTAGAAAATCTTTTCTTAGTGTAGAAACCAATCCAACATTAAGCTAACAAAAAAGAATCGTTTAAAAATATTCACACAATTTCACGTGAACTGTGTACCGGTATCACACGCTTCAAATTAAAAGAATTTAAAAAACGACAACAAAAACCCGTTCAGGTGGATGAACAAAGAAGTCTTAGCATCGGGTTTGGTAACGAATATTAATATTCTACCGATGATGTTGTAGTTAATGCGGAACGATACAAAACGCGGAAGAGGTGACTCTCGCGCATTGTCCATGCGTCCTTGGGCAGGTGTCTTTAATGCGCATTGTATAGACCCATTAGAATCTGTCATGTTGAGCCTGGGAGCGAACATGTTACGCCGTGGCTACATGCCTTTGTCAGATGTAATTGCGACCATTTAATCTGATGCCTAGAACCAGTTGTGACTACTTTTTCAAGAAGAGTAATTGAATTAATTACGTGATTGGTTTTGCTCACGATTTCATATATTGATTTCTGTCTGTCTACCTCTTTAGTGGTCAATATTATTATTAACAATATTATTTTAGTGGCAGTAGAGCTCCTTGCGAGAGAGTTCGTCCAGGGAAGTCCTGCCACCTTGCCTATTTCTGTCGCCAAGCAGTAATGTCAGCATTACTGTGTTGCGGTTTTGAAGGATAAGGGTGCTTATGAAATTACAGGCACTTAGGCCTTATCAACTTAGGTCTCAAAGTGACAGGCGCACTGACAGTGCCCCTCAGATCTTTGCGATTTAAAATTCTGAGTGGCACTGCAACCGTTATGGACAGGTGTGTAGTACTACATCAGGCGCACGACTTGTTCGTCCCGTCACGTGATATTATAAAAAAAATCTTATTTCATTTTATTAATAACATAGTAAATAAAAAAATCTATACATTTTTAAGTATTTTGAACTGTCACAGAATAAATAGGTTTTGGTAATAATTTCTACAAGCACTTAGAATAAATTCGTTTATCGGCTCTATATTCTACCAACACAAACTCAATTTAATTGCCGCCGTAAGTGTCGTTAAAGAATTTAATCCTTCACAAATCAAATATTTTGGAGGAGCGCACCAGTGCTTGGCGACATTAATGAAATTCGGTAAGGAGTGGCTGGCCCTCGCGCATCGACTACCTCAGCCCACTTGTAAGATATATATACATTCGGTTCTATTCGATCACAATTTTCGTTTACTTGCATTCACTTCCATAATAACTGATTACGTAATTTCCGATGTAGTTAGTAACTTGTAATAGTAGATGTACAATGACATTGAAATAAAATTTATTTTCAGTTACATAATTTACAAAAAATAAAAAAGAACAAAACAATATCGTTCACTGTTTCTTGGTAATTATTTTTACATCTAAATATACACTAAATCCGTGAATAGAAACACGAGTTGCAATATCCTACTACTTTCGGCGCTTTAAACCTTGAATAGTAATAAACATTAATTACTAGTATTCTATTCGGAAGTGACAATCGGAAATATAGCAAGGTGTCACAAAGTTTACATCATTACTACTTGGACGTTCTTCAAAAAATATTTAGAATAATATCCACCCTAGTTGTTCGCTTTTTCATATTGTGAGCTTCTATGCTTTCACTACGCTACTTTCTGTGCATATGTGGTTTGTCGTGTATCACTTAATTAAAGGACTAAGCTCGATGTAATACGTAATCACCAAAGCAAGAGTGATTTCGGAAGGTTAGCAGCTCAATGGTTTCCTGTATTCTGGTTTTCTGTAATGTTTTGGCGATGACCTCGAATTTTCGGTTCCGGATAAACAAGGTAGGCTTCGACTTTCTATTTTAATATTAAATAGCTCTGAAATTGTTTATTCCTATATAAATATCATATCGTACATATACCATAAAATAATTTACTCCACAGAATCGTACAAACTATGTTATATTTCATTTTCAACTAAAGCTAAATTTACTAGACCGAAATTGTTACCACAATCTCTTTCACTCTCTCAGTTGCAAAAGAATGCCATTAGATATAGTCTACAAATTTGACCAAATAAAGTCATATAAAGTGTCTGTTTACCTGTGGCAAAAGGGCAAACGCGGTTTACTTTAAAGAAACAAACATGACTAACAAATTGTGGTACAGTATGTAAATCTGAAGTAGTTTAAATATAGTCCTTGAAGAAGTCGTGTTCTAAGCTGTAAATAGGCAATTTGAGGTAGTTATATGCACCGTGCACAAATTAAAGTAAAGCCTTCAACGTGTAATGAAAACTTTTGTAATATTTTTTAACTAAAACAGACATAATTTGTAATAGAAAAACTAAAACGCCATTGCCGTCTCAATAAAGTCTCGACTTAATTTTGGAGCTGTTAGCGAGATGTTAGCTTCTAATAAATGACTTGATCAAATAGTAATATTTACGCAAATAATTATGATCGTATCAGACATATGTATGCATCACTAGAAACTAGGTGTTAGTTATATAATCTATGCTCCTAGCACCCAGCAGGTGGTCACCTTGCAATCTTGAAACACCAGGCAATGTCGGTTAATATAAGTAGAACGAGGTTCATGAACGTTCGTAGCCACCGGTGCATCAAATTATGTGAGTAACCGCAACACAGCAATTGCATACGAGCCTGCTGCTTTACACGAAGGGCCCCAAATCGCACCTGCATCTCAGCTATCAAGTTCAAGCGCAATCCATGATACCAAACCACAAAAAATAACAACTGAAATTGGGAACGAATGGTATCGATCGCTCGCATATATAAAATGTGTGTAGTACGCGCGCGGCTCAAACAGTCGAGAATCATCGCATCATGCACGCGTATCTCGCGATCGCCCTCGCGCTTGTAGCGCCCGCGCTTACATCGCCCCATGACCGTGTCGGGTACGAGAGGGAAATAGATGCCACCAGTTACAACCAAGTTCCGAAACTCCTGGATTACGTGTTTAACGAGGAATACCTCAGCGCACAGAAAAATCGGGCGAAATTAGTAACAAAACTCAGACCGGAAGGTGAAGCAGTGGTAGATGATAACGTGCTTCTGGAATCCAATGTTGTGTTTATTCGTCCAGCGAAGAGACGAGTGGCGAATGAAGCTGGAGAGGAATTAGTGCGACGGCGGCGTGGATACAACCTGGAGAACGTAAATGTGCCTGCGAGGTACCCGTATCTCCCAGTGCCGAGCTACTATCGCTTCCGCCGCTGGGGATAGTGGCCGATGCGCCGGCGCCTATGCCGCCTCGCAAGTCTGCCTCAAATGTCAAGGCTGCGCTAATGCTCTGCGGATCCCACCGCACCCGGAGCGCAACTCACATGTACATGTGTGCAACTCTGATAGACTGTACTTACTTAGTTGTTATTATATTTATACGAAGTGGCTGTGATCGAACGCTCAGTTTACGCCGTTGTAGTACGGTTTGATAGCAACGATTGACAGAGTACATACCAACATAAAAAAAACGAATAAAATATAAATTAGTTGAAATGTAATTAGCAATAGTTAGAGGTAAAATTAATGAAGATGAAATGTAAAGATTTAAATTATACGATTTTTTTTAAATAATTGTATTTGTTTCTATCAAGCCTTTTTCCGTTGCTTAAATGTTTGTTTATAATTAAAGAACCTAACGCGTCTCATTAATAACAGGAAATAATAAGTCTAAAAATGTTTAATGTATCTATTAACTGATCTAACTACAATGTCAAATGCAATAAAATACGCACAGAGTGACATATTGTAATGGACATAGTGTATGGTGTATATTGAATTATGCTACTAGGCCGCAGCCACAGTTTACAAGAGGTGGCCTAGAGGCCCCGTCTTCGTCATTTGCATGGCCACTATCAGTACAACAACCCTGAAACATGTGGTTGGTTACGCATAATAAAATTGTTTACAGTTGTTCAAATACATACAATAAACCTGTGCTTTTATTCCATTACATGTGAGCATAGCTTTGTTATGATAGGCCATCCTTCTCAACTTGTAAATAATTTTGGAAAAAGGATAACGACGTTTTTTAAATATGTATATTTGGAAGATTTACTTAAAGCCGTTGACATCAGGGTTTCATTCAAGGAGATGTGTGCGAGCGCGTGCAGCCTGCACTTTGGGATATTACTGCAATTAGACACTATCATGTCGTAATGAGAACAATGAAATATAATGAATGCAAGTTTAAAATGCAGTTGGCACAATTGGTGTCACGAGAGCCTGTTGTTAGGCATTCAAGCAAGGATTAGTGGTTAGTAATTGTCAGTTACGGCACAATGGTTATAACTTTTCTAGTAAACTATTGCATCAACTAGTGATACCGATAAGAGACGATGGGCTGTAATTAAAAAAGAATTTTAAAACATCTGAATGTCAACAGCCAATTAATGTCCTGCAGGACTCTTAAAGGCAAGACGGGATTGCTATAGTTTTTTTTACAAATAAAGAGTACGTCTATGACTAACAGATAGCAATTTTATACAATATTATCTACTTCAACTTGTTATTTTGATTACTAAAACAAAACGTGTTTGTCTTGAAACCACAAGTTATTTATAATAAGACGTTATTATAAAAAAGAGCCATTAAAAATCACTATCGTAGCGTAGTCGATTTAACATGCGCGTTTTGTTTAAGCATGCGCAAATTATTTCCTAAGCGTTTTCCGTTGTACAATATTGATGGTTAGACAATTCCACGTCCAGTAAATGTTTAGAATCTACTTCCGCACAAGTCCTGATTTCACTATCCAAGGTGACCGATTCTATCTAGCAAATCGAAAAAACAATATGGCGAACAATGCTATGTAATAATAAATGTAGTAATAAGCAAAAACTTGGAATATTTTTTGTCGAGAATAATTTAGACTACAGAAAAACAAACCGCGCCGTTAGCGAACTATAAGAGAGAGAAACAAAAAAATAAAAGCAGACAATACCAACCAGAGTACAAAAATACTTTTATTTGATATATCAATGTTAATCAATGTGCCAGATAGTCACACCAATCACATAGTCTAAAACTGGGGAACTATTTTAGTACAACAAAGGTCTCTTGTATCTTACCATTTTTGCGGCCAAGCAGTATTATGAGCATTGCCGTGTTTCAGTTTTGAAGGGTACTGGTGAAATTACAGGCACATGAGAATTGTCAACTAACGTCCCACATTAGCGGACGCAGTGGCAGTGTGATCTCTGCGATTTAAAGCTCTGGGTGGCACTGCAACTGTGATGGACATACTTGTCGCTTACCGCCAGATTTACAACTTATTCGTCCCGTCACTAATCATAAACGAGGGAATTCAATGTATGAGTACTAAATCAGAATTAATTTAGAAAAGTTCATCTCCTACCGGGAATCGAATGCGGTACCTCCTCATCCTCCGCCCAAAGTGCAAACAGTTAGTCCACTGAGGTCGTCAATGTGTAAGCAAATTACACTTGAAAATGTAAAATCAAATATCATTTAACAACTTATTCGTACGATAAAAATGAGGGGTTGCTCTGTTGAACATTCGTTAACATTTAACATTTTCAATATCGTAGTCATCATAGGCATAAAAAAGCTCAAATAAGCGGAAATTGTATTTTGCACAAACTTTTTGTTTTACAGCAGTTTTAAATGTTTTAAAGGGCAAATTTAGATAGAATTAAAAATTTAAAAGAATCATCAACGAGATTTTGCTTTATTTTATTTCAAAATCAGGATTTAATCGTGTATAAAACGTGTCTTATTTGCCTCGACAGACGTTTGGGCCGATACGTTTAAGTCCCGAATTTGAAATCAAATAATGTGTGAAAATCGACAATGTAAATATCCTATTATAAAATTTTATACATTTCAACACCTAAATATTTAGGAAATGAAACTATTTTCCGGATTTAAATCGCGTATATCTGTTTTTTCAAACAAACCGACGTTTCGGGCCCTTTACAGGTCGCATGGTAACGGTTGACTGAGGTGGTACAGTCTTCAACCAGTTATGTCTAATATTGATGCAAACCACTCTATTTTTTCACTATAGTTACAATAGTTATTACTTAAATACCTTATTTTTAATTTTACAAAGAAACATTCCAATGTACGCTACATTATGTTTTATAAATTATTTTATTGAATGAATTTTTATTAAGTTCAATTTATTATTAATTAATAATAGAAATTAGAATAAACTAAAACATATTAATTAGTACTGAAGTCTTATGTCTGTTTGGGATTTTCCATTAGAGAAAATACTGGATCCCAAACTGGTGGTACGGAGAAACCATCTTCCCTGTTGAAATTAGGATGTTTTTTAATTTCAATGGCCTCTCGCAGCATCCTGGGTAGATAACGGACTTCTTTTGCAAGGACCTGGGGTTTGTCAAACTTCATTGAATGTGTAGGTTTATCCATGACATGCTCGCAGACTGCAGACTTGTTTACGCGACGGTATTTGACATCAGCTATATGTTCTTTGACGCGGGTACAAATACTTCGCTTTGTTTGTCCAATATAAGAGAGACCGCACTCACAGTCAAGCTAGTAAATTCCTGCATCCTGTAAGGGGATGTTACATTTCACGGGTCTCAGGAACTGAGAAATCTTCCTCAGGGGCTTGAAATAGATCTCGATAGATGCGCGCCTGAGGACTCTTCCGATCTTGTCTGTAACACCTCTCACGTAAGGTAAGATGGCAGGTCTTCGCTCGACTGTTGGTGGTTTCACACGTGGCCTGCGGCATTGGCGTGGAATCTTCAACTTATTCGCATGTAGTTTAAATCCGGAAAATAGTTTCATTTCCTATGTGTAATAATCGCGAAAACCTAAGAACTCGATACATAAATATTTTTTTACTTTGTGGAAACAACTATCAAGAACCATTAGTTTATTTTTCCTTGTGTTAATATTTAATATAGCGTTATTTTTCATGATAAGTATAATATTCTTCCTAGCATAAAGTCTCATAAATCTACTTTAACCCTACTGTAAGTATGTTAATTTATTTCAACTTATCTCTCAAATACACTCTGGAGCGCAGATTGTAAATTGCTCTAGCAGCACGCCTCTGCAGAACAATTCTATTATTGTCGGCGACATTTCCCAAAAGCACAATGTTGTATACCATCAAACTGTGGAAATAGCTAAAATATCAATCTAGACGTTTCTACGTTTGAACGTAATAACATTTTTTTACTTAAGTTTTACTGAGAGTGGTAGCAATCAAGTACATCTCTGATATTAGTTTAAACAAGGGGAATATCATTATTAATACAAAAATCAAACACAAAGAAAAATTCCCTCGATCCGGCTGGACTCGAAACAGCGACCTCGCCACATCGCTCTCCCAACTGAGCTACGGAAAGAAGCAGCAGACCTTACAAATTTATCTATGTGCTTGTTGCAGATCTTTATTTTTGAAGAGGAATAGTATTTGCTCTGTTTCATGAGATCACGCAATACACGATCATTAGTAATTTAAAAACACAGTAAGAAAAAATATAATCAGTTATAGAATGAATAACTTTGACGGAAAGTGACTTTGGTGGCAGACGAATGAAAGACGGCTTGGGATTCGAAATTGGAAAGTCAGTCATAAACTTTTCGAATACTTTAACAAATTTTATGTGTTTTTACCATTTGATAATTGATTCTTAATTGAATATTCAAGTTACGAGGTCAACTCTTCCAGTTCCTTTGTTTATAATGTTCAAATTCGTCTTCACTACATCCGTGCTGTTACATATTTAATTATTTTTAAATATTAACTGCAACACAAACCTTTTTAATATTTTGGAACATCTTCTAAAAAACCGTGAAAACTGTCAATAATAAATAAAGTTTGATATAATTTATTTATTAAATCATTTTATTAATAATGTTCATAACGAGATTCACACGAAGGTCGATGTTTACCGAGGTCATTTTGAAAGCTATTAATAGCAATTAAATATCTAAAGATACTGAATTAATTTCAATGGTAATAAAATTAGCTACTATCCTCGCGAAAATGTAAAAATACCTATATTATTGTATAATAATAATAATAGGTATATACCTAATTTTGATATGTACATGGAAATAGATATGCACGCATTTTTATGTATAGGTAGCTTTCCCGATTCTGAAATAAGTGTACAATGACACCGACACTTGGAAAATTTCTTATACAGGGTGTAAGATAAGTAAAAACTTTATTTTGCGTTACCAAGTGACGGGACGAACAAGTCGTGCTCCTGGCGGTAATCAACACTCCTGTCTATATACAGCACTGAGTTGCACTGCAACTGTTATGACAGTGCAGTGCTTTAAATCTGAGGGGTACTGCCACTGCGCCCTAAACCCTGACACATAAGTTGGCAAGTCCCATGTGCCTGCATTTCACCAGCACCCTTGCCCTCCAAAATTTTTAGAAAAATAACACACAATACGTACTAAAGTAATAAGTTTACTGAATACAGCAGGAGGTATTCAAAAACTTTCTACTTCAAACCCTACAGTGAATAGATGTTTTAGTAACACAGAAAGGTTATTGAACAAGAACCTCGAAAGCAGAAAACAC